ATTCACGGACACAGGCAAAAACTGCCGAGTGAATGAGCTGATAATCACGCATAAGGATTAGAAAACCGAACGCGAGCTAATCACGAGAATAAGGAAACAAGCTCGTGCAAAATACACGATCCTTAAACTTGCGTAACGGTGTGTGACAGACTGCAGATTGCACTGGCAGGTAAACGAGGTAAACAGTGTTGGGAATTGTTCTAACAGACTTTCTATCCCTAAACTAGACTTCTAATGACTCAAAGTTTGGAGATAGGGGAATCTGTTAAAGCATTTCACAACAAGTAACTCGTTTACCCTCCAGTCTGCAATCTGCGTTTTAGCGAACGGGTGTCATATCATCAAGCTAGCTGACATGATTTATCTAGCTATCAACTTTTAATTCCAAGTGTTATATATTCTTACTGTTTAAAAGTGTTATAAAGATTGAATTTTTAATGTTTGAACTATTATAAAATATTAAATTAGAATTGGCTTTTACAAAGCATGCTGGAGACTAAATAGAGCCTATAAAATTCAACAAGTGAAATAGAAACTAAGACTATCGAGGTGACCCAGTTACTGATCAAATTTCCCCAGTTAACATTCGCAAAAAGGCTATATCTTCCTTCACTTTGCGAGGAGAGAATAATGTATAGGAATCCGTGTCTCTACTCCTGCGTTTGAAGGTGTGAGAGAGTGTTTTTTTAATACTCGTATAATGTTTTTACTTGTGAGGATAAGATAACACCAGATAATACTAGATGCCAAGACGGCAACGGCCAGGAGAACGTCACTTATAAAGTGAATTTGCGTTCTTTCAATCTCTATCACGACTACTCCAACTCACTTACTATGTTAAATGCAAGCGAACTCTTTTTGAGCCGAATTCACCAGAAGAACCATATTCAAGTATAGAAAGAGAAAGAAAATTTAGCCGTCGCTTGTTTTCGTCCCCCATAAAACGTGAAATCGGTTGGCATTTTCCCGTCGTAGTCGTGTAGTGACGGCAAAGAAATGTACCAAAAAGGGTGCTGCACGTCGGTGCAGAGTAGTTGTTTTGCCTATTCAACCTATTGCCTTTTTCACTTTCTCGTGGTCATCGCCGTCGTGGCATCTTAAAGTCCCTTTTTTAACCCGTTGCAACGCCTTTTAAATTTAACCTATCCTCTCTTGGTGTTATCTGTTACGCTAACCTCTCCCTTAGTGTTTAATAGCTGTTACGCTAACCCCACCATCTCGGCCCTTGGTTAGGCGATTTCACAACAATTTTTCCTTCAGGAGTAAATCCTTTGTAAAAGACAAGCAAAATGAAACAAAGTGAGGAAGAGAAGCGAAAAGAAACTCAAGCAAACCTGCAAGGATGCATGGTTTGCATCTTCAAAAATTTGGCTCACCACTTCTGTTGTCGAAAACTGTGTGGTGGATATGGCTAAACCTTTAAAGGTTAGACATCAACCTTTAATTGTTTATGCAGTAACAGAAGGCCCATGCATTAATTTACTTGAACACCTAAAGACGGAACTCAACCTGACGTCCGGACGTCGCCACCTTTGCCGCCAAGCATGCTGACACCATCGCCATCATCTTTATCATCACCATCATCAACATCAGCATTATAGTCAACAACCAATGATATGCACTCCGCAGAAGGAGGTCTTCTGTCAACTGCACTTCAGATTAGTCACGTAAGTTACCTTCAGCGGTCGGCAAGAGAAAATGAGCTTTTGCTGTCGGCCAGTAAACTTAGAAACTAATATAAAATAAAATAATATCTATATCTTCTTGTAAACTTATTAGTATAAGAACCGCACTTTCAGGATGACAGCATCTTCATTAAAATTGCCTCGTCTAACGTGTAACAGGAGCTATAATTAAAAATAATCGTGATATTTAAAGTTAAATTCGCACAACTTGTCTTGGTTAAAGGGGTTGTGTCACGGCAGTCCAGTTCATTTTGTTTAATTTTGCCAATTACTCGCCCTCAATCGGTATGGAACTTAAAGTAAGCAAGGAAATTACAAGGAAATGACAAAATCAGAGATTCGAGACAAACAAATATGTCTCCTGAGCATTATTTTTGAACTTGCAAACAGCAGAGATCAACTTTGAAAAACTGTTGGGCTGAATAGTTTTCAAAAACCCTAATTTCAATCCGTTTCCATCTTCTTCAATTTTGCCCATCCGTGGCATCTGTTGCATCTGTTCTGTTATTTTAACCTTCCTTTAATGTTTTAAGCGGTTATTTTTACGTTTATCTTAATTGAACGGGCATTTTGTAAGTACCTACTTTTTAGTAAAAATTTGGCTGAATTTCGTGACACAGCTCCTTTAATTAAATACAAAAGTAACCTACTTATATCCTACACAAGTACGAAATTTTCTTGATTTTGGCTATCTCAGTTTCTTCTTTCCCGCTTATTTCCTTTTAGTTTCTCGAAAGGAATTGCTTCTCTCAATTAAAAAAAATCGGATAGAGTTAGTCCTAACGTTCTGTGGCGGCATGCACATAAGGATCTTTCCCGATTATTGTGTTTATTTCCACTAAAATACTGCAATTTCATCGTGTTTATCTGAATCACAACTAATACACAAAGCCACGGAGCAAAACGTCAAGTAATACTAGTGTTCTTTGCTTTTAGACAAAGCGCTTTGCGAAAAAACTTAGGAAAATTACTTGGAACTGATATTTAGCAGTCGCAAGGTACTTCCATTGGCCATCATCTTTAAATGCGTATATCAAGTCTAAACTTAATATGAAACCATTGAGTTTAACTTATTTTTTGCACTGTCGGTAGTTTCCAAAGATCGTTTAGACCAGCAATTCCAGGTACTGAATGGTTGAGGTCGTACGACGAACTTTTGGCAACCGGAAACCATCAGGGGTTAGCAGTTTATATTTACAGGACTGTATAAGCGATGACTATGTCGTTTGCCTCTTGATTTCCTGCTAACGCAAGAAGTGTTTATTAATCCTTCTTAACGTCTTTGTGAGACGCGTCAGACACGTACAAAGCCACGATTTTAGTTTTGTCCAAAGGACACCTGAACATAAATACGTTATCCATGTCCCCACGAGATTTGGCTCCAAAAATGATCAGTTTATTCCATTTTTGTGACAGCATACCGCTGACACCATCTTGTTTGCTCACTTCCTTCCCATCAACCCACAGTGACGCGGTCCTGGACCGGGAGTCATAGCTGCCCACGATGTTATGCCATTCGCCAGCGGTTACATCCGAGGAACTGGACTGTACATGAAAGAGCTCTCGCCCAGAATCCCCTCTGTGAATCCACTCACCCTTGCCATTGTGCAGAAGAAGATCATAGCGAACAAAATTATTTTCGTCGGTTGCTGTTATAAGTGGCACCTTTCCTTTCACGTAATTTAATTTCACCCACATTGATATTGCCACAGATTTCTTCGGTTTTCCCTTGAAGCCATTTTGAAGGACAATTTTACCGTTGTTCCCAAAAACAACGGATTGCCCGAGATCCGTTTCGTCTTTTGATACGTGGACATCTCCCTTAAGCTTCGCATCGTTCCTTTGTGGAGAATCATCAAACACCATAGCCCCGTTTGATTTTTCAAATGTCAGTTTAAGCACTGCACACTTTTCATCAAATTCTTTAGGATTTCCAAGTTCTGAAACAAAAGGAAGCTTGATGAGTCAGATCAATGATACTCTATTTAAGGGAGCATTCCATCGGGGTTAAGAAGAGAGCGATTATTTTGTTTGTTATTGTTTCATCTCAAAGAACATTTTACAAGATTGTAAATTTACAAGATTGAACCAAAGAACAATAAATTAAACCCAACTGAAGAATCCCTACGATAAAAAGTCAATGCATACTTAACCCCTTGGATTAAATCAAGTAAAGTTGATTGTTCCTAATATACTATAATAAAGCGGAGGGATTTCTATACCCAGCTCACACTAAGAGCCTAAAATTTGCAGGGAACACCCAGCTATTCAATATAACTTTAATACGTGCGGAACCTTGACCCCCCTCCCTCCCCTCCCCCCTTAAGCCCTGAGATTCTCCTGATCTCCTGAAATTTTGTAACAATGTTTATACAGAAAACTGTGGGTGTTGGTTCGTGAAAAACAAACAACATACGACAGGCGTTTTTTTTTTCACGTATACGAAAATGGGAACAAAACAAGGCTTTTGCGGAACAAGCGATCCATTATGATATACCTTCATTCTACTTCCAGCCAATTTTGGTTAGCAAATTGTAAAAATTCAAAATCGCTACTCACTCACTCAGATTTGTACACATGGTATTGAGACTAGATCCTTTTTAATCCCACTTAAAGTAGCTTGAGTACAGCCACGCCCTTCCCTCGATATTTTTAGGGAAGGAAGCGACTGTACACAGGCTAACCTAAACAACTCAGAAAGGTAAGAGTAAAATTTACTCATGATGTGACTGAAATCATGCACACTCAATTAGTTTAAGGCCTGGGACCGAGGGGTCTACCCGTGGAAAATGATTTATTGGCTCTATTGACACAGATTATGGAGCTGAACAATAGAGAATGATCAGAATGATCTCTTGAGCGGAATCAAAATTTGTCACAGAAAGATCTCATATTCTTTAACATTTTAAAGTATAAATATTGTGTTAATAAGTTACATGATATGTCACGTGACTATTTTGCTAAAATCGTAAATAATTGACAAATTGGTGGCAGGTTTCATAAAAGAAATCGCGCAATAACATTTTTCTTATTCATATTAAATATTTCTAAAACTTCACGTTTGTAATGACCGTCCATTACACTTCAATAAAAAATTGTAAATGTGAACATCATTTTAAATGCCCAAATTTAATCTTGAATTACTCAAAACTTTAATTTTGAACTTTCCGTACATTAATTCCAAACGTAGAAAGTTGGGTATGTTTATTCTCCACCGGCATTCGCCACCAACGTGTCATGTCACGTGAACGTAATTTAATTAAGGCATAAGAAGACCTCAAGATTTACTTTTGGGGAAAAATTCATTCTGCTCTAGGTCTCCTAGCGAAAGATGTTGCAAATCAATCATGACCCAGACCCTAAACTCTTTGAGCAAAGGGTTTCACTGATCAATAGAACGACAGAGTTGCTTCCATGGAGAACGATCGTTTACTTACTCTCTATTTCATCGGAAGGATCTGTTGTTGATTGAGCTGTTGCCGGTGTGAAAGTTCGTGCACTGATTTGATTAGCCTGCTCTATGGGTTGCTGTCCTATAGGCATCTGCCTCAAGGGTACTACTTGACTCTGAGGTGGGCTAGCTATTTGAGAGTTCATGTTTCTAAACGCCAGGGCTCTTTGTAGCAGTGCCGATGATGGGCCTACTGTCCCTGTCTGGACTGGTAACGGTAATTGTTCCTGGGTTCTACGAAAACCTGTAACCTGGCTTAATCGACTTATGTAATCCGCTTGTCCCCCAAGCATGCGACTTCCGGTCATACCTACACCAGAGGGGCCTGGGAACCAGGTCCCGCCCTGTGCTCCGATAATTGCGGACAGACGATTGGTTGGTCTGAGGTTCAGGAATGGTTCTCCGTTTGAATCTGTTTCGACCCCACCATCAAATGTCCTACGATAAACGTTATCCCGCAGAATTGCTTGAATTTCCGAATTTATATCATTCGTTATTCTTAGGGCTTGCTTCTTTGCCATCAGCAACTGAGATAGTCGCGGGTCTGCTTGTTCCAAACGAGCGACCGCATGCGGAATGGCGGATCGTGCAACCTCGGGCAGCGTGTAATACTGAGGGGCGATTGGACCAATATAGAACGAGGAGGATGTCGCAAAACAGAGAAGAGCTACGTATACGAAGCTTTCAAGTTTCGCCATGGACTGCTTGACCTGTGGAAACTGAAATGATTTCAAAAACGTTTTCAACTAAATTTGATTTAAATAAGTGGTGTTTTTTATAACTATCAAAGCCCATGTAAGATTGCTCTGGTCGCAATATAGAGTTTATAGAGCACACGCGTGTTTAAGTTGGCGCCAAAAGTGAACTAAGAAACAAGAAAGTCAGGAACGAAAACCAAAAGAAAACAAATACCTGCAATAGGTTAAGTGAAAAGTACAAAGCATTGAATTTAACAGGTGTTACTCAAATAAATGTAATTAAGAATCACAACAATATCAGTTAGCACAATTTAAAATCATTAACAAAAGAAACATTTGATATCTTGCTTCCTCGCTGATTATCGATCCTAGTTACAATTGTATACATGAGTTATTATAAACCAAGTGATCCCCAAGGGTGTTCCGACTTACTTACCTCAGAGCCTATCACCTGTAGACTATTTTAAAAAGTCAGTAAAGTTGCTGCTGTAATTAATTCTCCTGTCTTAGTTGTGGCTGTATTATTATTCGACTAATCGAAGCTGGTAAGACAAATCAAATACAAAAGGTTAAAACGTTTTTGTGAAGCAAACTTAGATTCTGTTTCAACTGAGCTGTAACCATAACAGGTACGTTTTCTGGGTCGGAGAATCACTGAATT